CAACTCTTGTTATAACGAACTCTATGTCCTAGACCTCAACTTCACTATAAGGCTATAGTGAAGATTTTAAGAGATTTGATTAGGCAATTCGCTTTAACAAGAGTATTTTTATTATATTTGTTCAAAAAATTCATTATATCAAGAGTTCGTTATATTAAGAGTTGACTGTATTTTATATTTTCGGCTAAGACAATTTATTATAGTGTAACCTATAATATAAGCTCATTTATTATTAACTAAATTAAAAGATATTATTTTTTAAACTATAAAATAGGTAATTTGCTTATGAACATATAAATAAGTATTAATTTTTAATAAAGTATAAAATTTTAATTTTAATAATATAATTATTCTATAAAAATATAGTGTAATATATATTTTATTAACTTTCTTAGAAAAATTTGAGTTTTTAAAAAATTTTTAAATAATTCAATTTTAAAATTAAGTTTTAAAATATTTATTATATGGTGCATGCAGTCTAAAGCCACCATTTTTCTATTTTATGGTCAAATTTTAATAAAATCACATGAAGAAATTTTATTGGTCAATACTTTATATCAAATTTGATAGATTAATAGTTTTTATTATTAAAAATTTATTGTATCAGAAATTCTCTGATGTGATTTATATTGTTTTACAGCATATAAAGCTGCAATACCCGTTAAACCTTTTTTATATGCATCCATAAACCTTCAAAAACGCCGAGCATATCATTTAATTTATTTTAAGGAAACAGAATTTAAAGCTTCTGAAACTGTTCTTTCTAATAACTTAAATGAATAATCACAATTATTACGAGTATATTATTTGGCAACATCCAATAAAATTAAGTTCACAATGGAACTTTAGATAGAATATCACCTTATGACTCAAACTTTCAATAATCTCCTTAATTAGTGACTTTTGTGCTAAAAAATCTGGCTGAAGTGAAAGCACACAAACTGCACAACAATTTTCTAAAACAGGCGAGTGTTTTTTACAATTATCACAAATACATTTTAATTGACTTTGAGGTCACAACCTGCGTTCTTCCAAAATCAATTTAATGCCTTTTAGCTATCCATTTGAAAGATGCATTAACTGAACTGATCCATCAGGCATTGATTCATTTCTAAACTTCCCTTTATCACTAGGTTTAAGATTCATTCATATAGTAATAAGTGCATCTTCAGCATATGCCGCATGACTTGTTGCATTATCAAATGCAAATACACCAATATCACCAGGATGTAATTCCTCAAATATAGGAATTGCTTTTTCAGTTATCTAATATTAAAGGTAATTAATAAAAAGTTTTAAAAATAAAAAATAAATAATATTATTCAAATCATTTGATTTTCACCATCCATCATGATTTATTTCTAATTTCATTATAACACATGCTTCTTTTTCTTTAGTTTTTAGATATCCATTAATTTCTATAAGAAAATTACTAACATACAAACTAAATCTAACTCCTTTTTTCTGAAGTAGTTGATATCCAACAGGTTCCCAAAAAGTTTTTTTTCCATTATTATCATAAAAGGTAGATTCGTCATGTGTAATTAATATATGTTATTTTTCATTTACATTTAAAATAGGTTCTTCTAAAACTTTTATATCATCATTTAATAGCTTTAGCATTCACTTTTCCATTTCAAAAATTTGATTTAAAAAATATTTTCTGTATTCAATTATATTAGGTCTTTCATGACTATCATAATAAACATCTTTTTTCAAAATTCTCATCCAAAATATTTTAACCAAGCACAAGCTGTATTTTCTAAAATTGTTTTTTTTCTTTCTATCCTCATACTTGAAAATATTTCTTGTTCAATGTAAATTTTAAATCCGCTTACTGTCACATTACAATCAACACTCCAAAGATATTCTGTAATCATTTGATGAATATCTTCATCACCTAATAAACTTTTTATTTTTTGATGCTTTTCACGCATTGATATTAGAATTTGATAATGAACAATAAAATTTTTAATCCATAATCTAATAAGTTCGGCTTAATAATCTCCTTTTCCAATGCTAACCGCAAGATTTTTATTTGCATCCATACTTTTAAAACCTTTTAATTGTAAGTTAATATATTGCATTATAAGTTGTAATCTGTTTTTAACTTGCAATTCTAAGAATTTATCAGTAATTAGTCTTTTTATATCCTCTAATGCTAATTCAAAACCTTCTTGTTCTTGATTTTTTTCAAGTTGTTTTAACTTATCCATAAGTTCTTTTGTAGATTGATGTGATATTTGTTGATATGATTGAAGTGTAAGAAAAAAGGTATCAAGTTTGGAAATTCTAGCTGCTGCAATTTATTAGCAGAATTTTTGCGTCTTTGTATTCTTTCTGAATTTTCAATATAAACTAATGGGCAATTATTTGTAAATGCTGAGGGTCTTTTGCATTTTCAATCATAACATTGAAAACTGTTTATGAAATTTGATTCAAACTATCTTCAAGTTCATTATCATATCAATTATCATCAGAATCATGATAATCTGATAATTCATTATCATCATTACTGTTTATAATTATTAACCAAGCTTCATTAATTGCATTTTTTGCTTTAATATTTCAAGCTACTACAAGTTGAATCTTTCGTTTCTTTGGTAGCATTTTTAATTAATTTAAAAAAAAGATAATGATAATCTTTAAATGCTTATAATTGTAGATTATTACAAATAAATACACAAATTTGATAAATATTCTCACACTAAATTAAAATATGATCGATCAAAATTCTTTAATTTTGACCAATTTGTAATTTTAGAACTGATCAATTTTATACTAGACTTAATGAAGTTACTAAAATTTAAACTTATATAACTTATGCTATAGTAATGTAACTTAAAAAAACTCACTGTTATATGAAAGTATATTATTTAAATTACAATTTTACAGAAAAAAATTTAAAAATATATTAATTAATTTTTTTTTCTATTAATTCAAAATCATATAATAAAAAGTGGTGGCTTTAGATTGTATGTACTATAATAATTTTTTAAAATTTTTCTTAAACTTACATGTTTGTGAATTAATTGATCATTTTATTACTAATAAAAATTATAAAATTTCTTGGTAAATTATAAAAATTATAATAATTAAAGTTATTCTTCATAATAAATTTTATAATATTATTACACAAAAGAAGACATTGATAATAATAACCTAAAGAAAAATGATGATATTCTGAATATTTTAATTTGGTAATAAGAATTTCTAAATCTGACATTACTTTTTATACAATATATTGAAAAGCATATTCAAAATCTTATTTAATTTATTATTAATATTATTAATCTTATTAGAATTTAAATTAAATCAATAATAAAGAATTTATAAGAATTTTTATTTTTTGCTTTTTCTTTATAGCATTAGAATATAAATGTTTAAAATTATCATAACAATGATTATTTTTATTTTAGTGATCATATTTAT